AAATGTTTTCTTAAAATGTTCTGAAAAGCTCAAAATATGACTAAGTTTGTACTAAAACCAAATGACAAAAGTACTGTTAATTTACTGTATCAAACAAGCTTCTGAAAAAAATTAAATATCAAGATATCTAAATTTTTCTTAAATAGAAAATTATTTGTGGGAAACACATATTGATATGATTCAACGTAGTACGAAATATTAATATTAAAAAATTAATGGAAAGTAAAAGTCATTTTGAAAGCCCGGCGGCGCAGTGACTAGCGGGTTGCGTAGCAACACTACAGGTCCGGGATTCGATCCTCGGGCTGGGCAAGGTCGACTCAGCATTTCATCCCTTGAGTGGATCGATAAAATGAGTACCAAGTTCGCTTAGGGACTAAACACCGGGGATCTTGCGACAAAATGACCACTTGTCCAAGGCATATGCTCATGCATCCCGGGCCCACGGTCAAGAAAGAAGATATGGGAGCACTTCAGGCCTTGGCCCACTAGGGCTGTTACGCCACTGAGTTTAGTTTAGTTTAAAAGTCACATTTAAAATAATTAGCAAGTAACATTTTACGGTAATAATTTAAAACAGATTAATTTCTTATAAGATATATTCTAAAAACAATGACATTTTAGTTTTCATAAATAATCTGCAGTTTGTAGAATATTTTAGAAATTTTTAAAGCCAGGAAACATAAAGAATATGGACGGGTGTGTTTTCCAATCACACCACGAAGGCACGCGCCAAAGAGGAGACAATTCTTTATATTCTCCCCCACTTAAAAGGCGACTTAAGAGGAGAGGATCTAATCGACAAATCCTGGTGGTGACGAATCACCATATTTTAGTTCAGGTGCCTCTATAGAGTATTTAGAATTTTTGAATTCAGAAAACGTGATAAATCAGTAATGGCCACACAAAAATTCGAACTTCAGACCTCCTAATTACCGGTCAGACGTGCATTCTAATCACACCGCGAAAGCACGCAGTGAGGAAGAAGAAAACACTTTATATTCTCCCCACTTAAAAGAAGACTGGGAAGGAGGGGACCAAATCGGCAAATTCTGGTGGTGACGAATTATCGTCCACGAAATTTTAGTTCGGGCACCGCATGGAGAGTCATTAGATATTTGTCGGAGGCAGGAAACAAAATAAATAAATAAATAAAAATAAATAAATAAATGTGCATCGTCCTCACCAGGACTCAAACTTCGGACTTCTTTATTATCAATCGGATATGCTTCCGATTTACAACACGAAGGCAGGCCTTTGAGTAGGGAGAAAATACCTTACAAGCTGGTGAAACTTGAACATCAGAAAAAAATAGACAGAAAAGATCCAAAAGTCATATTTCTGTATGTTTAAAACTTTGCAGGCAGCAAATATATAAATACTGCTTTTTAATAATAACCGAATTAGTTAAAAGTCATATTTTAGAAAATGGTTATAGATCATTCCTCTAGTTTGTAAGAATTCACAAATAAGTTGTATCGCATTTTTATCCTGCAGAACTTATTAAGTTTTTATTTTTATTAAATAAATCAGCATTACCATGATTTACATTTGTTTACAAAGTGCTATCCATTTCGAGTTTTGATCAAAACTTCCGGAAGAAATCAAAACGATCATGCTGTGTGGCATACTTTCAAAGGGAATATTACTTTTATTCTACCTGCTTAGTTAATTTCATTCTTTATTATACTGAGAATATATTTATTTACCTAATGGATGTTCAGCTTCTGGTTGATGTTTCAGTTCCTTTCCATGATAATTCTGTTAAATGGCGATGGGAACACCTGTGCTTTATTTTTCCTTATCTGCTTTACTTTGAAAGTTACACTGAACATGTTCAAGTGCGTTAAAAATTTTCATAAATTTGTCTAATATTCCTTCTTCTTACCCTTAATGAAATAATTTTTGAAATAGGGTGATTTGCTTTTACTGATGCACGAAGTGGCAAGTTTCAGACACTTGTCGCTTTGCTGCTCAAATTGATAGAATCTGTCTCAAATCTATCATGATGCAACTTGATCAGAGTTTGGGATCTTATAAGAACTACCTGTTATAGAACTCTTTTTGGATAAATGCATCATACCAGCAATTTAATGGTCCATATTACTTTTATATCTGAAATTTCTTAGTGATGCATTTTCTTTGGTTATGGAGTCTTTCGACAGAGATAATATTTTGTTTGAATGATTCGCCCTGTTAGGTTATCAGTTTAGCCAGATAAAACTCGGCTTTCGTTTTCCTCTGTGGCAAATCTTCAGTTCCTTTCAGATTTTATGTCTTCAAGCTTTGTAATAAAACACAGACTGCAATTGTTTATGTGCATTTTTACTTTCTCACTAGCTAAAGGAAGTAATGTAATCACGAAAAATTTCGGTTATCATATTTCAACGGAAATATGCATTTTGGCGGTTGCCACATACATTTAGACGATTTTTTTTTATGACGGCGGCATGTACAGACAGAATAAATGACTTTTTCCAGAACAGAGAACTGCTTAACATGCCTTTCTGCGCCTCTGCTTTTTATTGCAATCGGCAGTACAGGCCCAGAAGTGTTTTAAATGGCAAAAATATTCATGCTACGGCAATAGCAAAATTAAAAAAAAATCCATAAATAACGAAATCTAACTTTTAATGCAATCTCCCATTTCTATGTAATTTAATTGGAAAAGGTGTTTCGATATGAAAAATTAAAATTATAAGAAGTTTGCTTTCCTTAAGACAAAAATCGACCGGGATATTTGATTTCAAAATTTTAAATTTTTGATACTATTTTCAACTTGCTTTGAGCGATCGGTAAGTTAGAATAATTCGAGTGCATAAGTTTAAATGAAGTGCAGCAGGAAGCCATGTGAGATCTACATGAGATTTTTTTTTTTAACGATTAACAGTTTGATATTTTTGTATTATTTTAATTCTCCCATCCCTAGCCAGATATTCTAGGAACGAACATAGATATTCTAAAACCGAATTTTTTTAGTTTTAATTTTATTTAACAATTAAATTTTATTTCATCAGTTTACCATTGTTTTTATGTTGCTTATCGTGTTATTACCATCGTGTTAGAATTTCCTTTGAAGTGTCACATATAGTGAGGTAAAGTTTTCAGTTTGCAAAGTTTTTTCCCCTCTTTGTTATTATTTATTGTAACTACATTGTATTTCACTTAGTAGCATTTTTATTCCTTTTCTTAAAACTACTGAGAATAATTAAAAGAGACACATACCAACATGAAACACAAAATTAAGGGCGCAGAAACTATCTTAGAGAACTCAGTTGATATAATAATCATACGGTATCCCTCCTCCGAGCTAAGAATCTTGTACTGAGTTCTTCCTTAAGGAAAATGTTAAATTGGGTAAGTTTGTCATATAAAAATATGATTATTATCAGTGTTATACAGTACTAGAATAATTTAGCGGAGTTTCTAACAACGGTCATATGCAAATACGTACATGGCTAGAGATTCCTTATATGAGAAATAATCGACAGTAAAATATGTCATAAGAAATCCGTTTAAAAGAAAATAACGTATAAGAATGGTCTAATTAATTAATAACGTTGTAGATTTTCACTGAGCATCTTATACAGAAAATAATTAATTTTAATAAGTAGTTTGCAAGGATTAATTTTTTTCTTATAGTTTCCAGCATTATGAGGTATATGATTGAGGTCATTATATTTTCCTCACTGCCTGAAAATTCATTTCACATGCTGGAAAAGAATATAACATTGTAGCTACCGATAATATGCTTTATTTTCGGAATTTCATAGCATTCGTAAAGACATCAAGAATAACAGTTAATTATATAGATGTTATTTTATTTGTAGTAACCAACTAAGCTCAACAAGTTAAATAATTAAGTTATTAAACTTTTTTAGATAACTGAGATAAATTTTGGTGACAGTTGAAAACCGTTATTTTAAGTAATGAACGTAAAGTGTAAATAAAGGGGAGGAAATAAGGGGAATAAAGAAATAAATATAAAGTTGTAAAAACAACATTTCTGCATTATTCACTCAAATTTATTAGTAATCATATAGAATTTGTTGCATATAAATAATAAAATGATAGCAGTTTCACAGGAATTTCCATTTCGTAAGAATTTTCAAATAAAAGAAGCTACTTTATTTTTATTCTTTATATAAAGTTTAAAGGTATTTATTAAATAGGAAATTATGACTTAAAGAGTCATGCTCTGACTATATATAAACATGTATGTCTACATATAAGCAAAATCGTACGATTTTTCATTACAAACTAATATATTCTAACTTTCATTTGAACTGAATGAAATCCCAGTTCCTTTTAGATAAAACAGAAATCTTTACTAAGAGGGTATAAAGTTGCAGTTTTAAAAGCATAATTCGTTCCGTCTCTACATTTTAATTACTAATATTAAAAACAAAATACTCTACATGTAGCGTAAATGTATAAATAATATCAGAAGCAGATCAATTACTAAAATAAATATTTTCTAAAGCTCTAACCCTTGATAACAAGAAATCGTGGTACAGAATGAAATAATTTAATCATTTAAAATAGCAGCAATATTGAAATGAATTTTGGGGGGGTGAATAACGCTATGAGAAATTAACGAGTTTAATCCCAAAACTTACATTAATAATCAAAAGAAAACTCTCTGAGAATTCAGTCCTTTGCGAAATTAAGATATTAAAATTTATATAAAGTAAATGGAAATAAATATAATTATGTAAAATGTTATAATAATTCTCGCAGTTAGTATTTGGACAGACTTAGTTATTAAACCATATCAGTCTAATTATATAAATTTTGCCATATCCAAATTAGAATTAAAGAGAAAATAAATCTTTGTTCTTCAATAATTTATGACATCCCGCTTAACAGAAGAAGTAGATTAAATGGCGAATAAAAATTTCATTACAAAGGGACGCAATAAACAATAAAAATATTAATAAGCGAAAATGAAGACACCTGAAAAATAATGTTTAAGTTTTAGAAAACATTTTCATGCTTACCTTCTGGATTCGCGTTAATATCATTTAGGAACCTAGACCTCAGTTCTTCGAGGAGTTCATCATCGACATACCATTTTTCTTTAAACAAAGGCATTTTTTAAAAAATAAATAGGCACTTTCTCTGTGGCCGTGCTAAATGCTAGCTAATTCAACCTTCGCTACGTTTGGTGGTGAGCGGTAATTCTGTTCGTGAGAAACTTGGTTGAAGCTATGTATATCGTGGATGGGAAGAACTTCGGAAACTCGTTTCACCACTTTCATTTCGTCATAAGACGTTAATGATCTGTAGTTGGTTCAGTTCATCTTCCACATATAACTTTCGTTTTGCGACACGTTCCTGATAACTTCAAGGTCGATCCAGAAACAGCTAGTATGATATTTTTTTTTTCGCTTCCTATGGAAATAATGTAATTATAGGAGCGGGTGTTTCAAGGAATTTTTTTCTCAAGATTAGATATGGAGGACGGGCATTATAGTTGCAAACAGATAGTAATACGTTTTGTTTACCAGGCTCTTGCGCTCGATCTTACGTCAAAAATGTAAACAAAATGATAGCGAGATATGTACCAAAATAAATTGACGTATCTATCGGTGAATGAACAGGAAATGCCACTCTGACTTTTGTACATTTTAGAAAGTTTTTTTTTAACTATAATAAACGAGTTTGTTGATTCAGTAATTAAAAAGACAAGTAGTAAGCAAAATTTAGAATCTTTTATACATACATTTTATGGAAGAAACAACAATAAAAAAGAATAAATTTAGTTGAAGAAACATAATCGGCTATAAATAAGCGAATTATATACACCAGTATTAAAAGCGGTGATATTAACGGTGTTCTTAAGAGACTGATGTATAAAATCTGAAAAAATTTAAACTTTGCAATGGAGAGAGAAAAGGTAGGATAAAACTCAATTAATAAGTAAAATTTACGCCGAGAAAAGTTTAATTTTTTTAAATTTAAAAAATGTACTCTGTCCTTTTTAGGGAATTTTTAAAATAATAATTTAGTTATTTCCGGGCTTCCCTTCCATGTAAATTTTTATGGAAGTCGAACTTTACACTAAATTAGAAATTTTACTGGACGCTTCTTTGTTGTGGGCCCTGAGGGATAGTCTCGAAACGGTATTTGCGCTGAATTTAAAGAAATGAAAGAATAACTCTGCATGAATATATGCATGATTTTCGCACTGTGACAAAACGAGGTTCCTACTGCCAACAAATTTTGAATAACGTGATCCTCCACCCAAATATGTGGCCCTGGGAGCCCGAATTTTGAATTTCGAATTTGTTGAAAAACCCTTTTGAGCCACCGTTAAAATCTGAAAGGTTTCAGATTTTAATTCATACTTTTCCCCCTCATTTAACTGGGAAGGAATCTTAAAAATTAATTATTTTAAATGCTGCGAAATTTCAATACAATAACTACAGTGCAAGAACAAATACAAAATCCTTGTAGTACATAGACTCTGGATATATCATTGTACTGGGTCCTCTACGAAAAAAAAATGTTTTTATTAATGACAGATTAGTATGGGTTTTCTGTGTTTCTGGGACACGCAGGCATGGGCCCAGTGGTCCCATGCTTTAAGACGGCCTTGACGTAAAAGTGATTAATCTGGTAAATATACGGAATCAACATTTATCACGCATAATCACTAATCATCTTGAAAAGCTTGATAAATTCATTCCGTAAAGAAAGAAATGCCTTTATTCATAAGCACCAGCTTGTAATGGTAAATACAATAAATCGTATTTTATTATTAAATTTACAAGGCATTTTATATACAATTACCATTCTTGGATTGTTGGGAATTATGCATAATCTCGATCAAAAATGATGGATTCCCTTATATATACATTTGAAATTTACAAACTTCATCAGGAAATTACGTAACTTGATTATGAAATTATGATCTTATTTTTATTTTTTTATTTCATTAAATTTCGCACCAAATTTTACAAAAGTTAATATTTGGGCATAATTTGAGTCGTAAAATCGAAATATGGAAAAAAATTGGTATGTGATTTCAGAAAAAGACCCATTTTGTGTCAAAATACCTACGTTAGAACAATGCTATATATAAATCTAATTTACTATATCATAAGCCGCGCTTTCGCGACATGAAAAACACAATTTGAATTTCGTCCATCAGCCCAGTAGAACGAGAGATATAGAACTATCCTATTTTTTTTTCGCAGTTTACATACTTTAATCTAATCACTAAGTCAATAATTTCTTTCAGGGACATTCCTGAATCCTTTGCTTTTAAGTCTTCAATTTCTTTAACGTATCAATGACTTCATTGTAAACTACGTTTATAACTGTCGTGAGCAAAATAATTTTATTTTTCGAGTTGAATTCAATTTTTTTTTTAATATTTCTTCTTTAACTTTTTTTTCATATGCACAAAAACTTGAAAATTTACTTTAACGCTATTTTCTTTAAGCTTTTCTTCAATGAGATGATAAACTTCATTTCGTTTGAAATTTAAAAATTTCTTCAAATCTACTCTATTTTTTGTATTTAGCAAAGTTGAGTGAGAAACCTCTTGTTAAAGGCGTACTCTTTTAAGACATCCTTCTTACTTTCTCTTCATCATTTACATTTTTTATTCTTTGTTTGCTTTTTATAACATTTTCAGAAGGTTCATTAGTCTTCATTGTTTCAACTAATTGAGTATGAACTTCACTAATACCTCCGCCTTCTTATAGATTTTGTTGTAACAGAGAGCTTAATACATCTGATGTGACAGTCATATCTTAAGACAAATCCACTCTATCATTTCTGATTTCAACTTCGAAAACAGGCTTTTCATATATCTGGCTGATTTTCCGTCGTTTTACTGATTCAACAATAATGCGCATGTCTTCATGCTTTCGCGTATGACGAGTAAGGGAGTCTAATCGTGTGTAATGTTTCTGACAAAATTCACCTTACTTAAGTGAACGTCATTTGTATGTTGATCAAGAGCACATTTTTAATTAAATTTTTCTCACAATATATACAAACAAAAGTACAAGGTTTGTGAATAGAAGCATAATTACGTTTACAACTGATATGGGTAGAAAAACATTTTGAACATTCTTCAAGACGATAATAAATTGTATCTTTCAGTTGATGGTTTAGAATACAACGAAAATGAAATAAAAAACGCTTTTTTCGAAATTACCAATTTTCAACGTGCCCACTTTGGAAGACGATAACGCGTTGCATGAGAGAATAACAGCAATGACGAATGTAACATTGCAGGATTAATCTGTATAAAGGTATATAGTATTTACAGTAGCTTTTATCACGTCTATAGTATTTTAAAGATATTTTATAGTATCTTTAAATTTTGTTTATAGTCTTTTAGTATCACGTTTTATAATATCTTTAAATTTTGATATGTCTCGTAAATTTGATTTTGCTTAGATTTCAGGTAACCCAAGAACCAGAAATCAATCAGAGTGAGGTCAGGGGACCACGGTGGCCACGAATGACTCTATCACACCAAAGAATCGTGACTATCGCAAAGCCACGAATCACTCTTATCTCTGTTGCAGCACATGCTGAACACGGGTGGCTACGTGTGGAGGAACACCATCCTTCATCGTTACAACATTTCGCTGCTGTAGTTTTAGAATTACTTAATTCCGTAACAGTGTTGTATAGCGAGTACGTTTTCATATCTATGAACGTAACCTCTTCGAAGAAGTGCCGGTTGAGAATGAATGTGATTGCAATGCCGCACCACACAATCATTTTAGCTTTGTGTAAAGGCGCTGGTGTCACATCATGATAATTTTCGTGTGAAAACTTCTACTCTCTAGCCCTGTGAATTACGCCAAGTGTGTCAATGTACTTCCTTTACCTGTTGTGACTGATCCTTTACAATACCCTCCTTTGCAAATATTTTACGCCGATAGTTATATAGCATATATGTATCGTTTCAATATATCATATATGTTCAATATAGCATATATGTATCGTTTCAACGCCATTTATGACTTTTCCATGCGTGATCAGTTTCCGCAAGAAAAAAAAGTGGATGTTGCCATTCGAAAATTTCGTACATTTTGTTCCTATAGTGAGAGCTCTATTGTTCTAAATCAACATAATTTAGAGGGCGTACATTTAAATAACAATATCTGAAATTTCATTTCGATTGGTTGAGCAGATATGTAACTGAGGGTTCATATATTTTTTTTTTTTTTTTTATGACGACTCTGTTTAACACTGCGCAGGATACCTGTACCTAGAACAATATCTCGATTGTGTAACAGATGTACTCTAAATGTGAAAGGTCGAGAACGTATGTGAGCTAGTTAGCGACATAGCACTAACAGTTAATATTTCATTCAAAATTGAGGCTTTAGTCATATATATATTATGCCATTTGACTCGAACTATACAATCTTGCATCCTAGGAGTAAGGAAATAATGTGAGAATAAATGAATAATTTTATTACTGGAAATCGGTCATACAACAATAAATATATCTGAATTAAAAATCTGTTTTTTTCCTGTAAGAAAGGGGAGGAATTAGCGTGTAACGAGTTGTAACTATAGCTCAGGTATCTTCTCTTGAATACTAATTTTCAAACAAGACATTATTAACTATATCTTCTTGATTAATGATTTCACTTCAATCATAGAATGACTAATTTTTTATGCATTTTTTTTAAAGTTAACCGTTTTTTATATAACTATTGATTATAATAATGAAAGAGACATTTTAAGATTTCTTGAAAGGACTAATAGTCATGAAATTTGTTAACCATGTTTTTAAACTTGTGCCATTCTAAACATATTCAAATTGTTATTATGCTTCAGATTATGTAATTCACTCACCGTAAAGTAATCCGTAGCGATTTGATGAAAAATAAAACATAGTTTATTTTTATTTAGTTTTCTAGTTGCAGTTTAAAATGCAAAAGATTTGATTTTCAATGTTAAGACCTAAGTGAAAAGCTATAGTGTAGGTATACATGTTAAAGCAGATGCTCTCTCTTCGGCCTTAAATAGTTTTCAACCGCCCGCCGAGATATTTCTAGTACTTTCTGCTTCTTGAAATTAACGGAAAGCGATATGAGGGTACAATTACGGTTACAGCTAATATAGTGGGTTAATTACATTTATTCAATTTCAATATATATTACGGTAATACAGGGACCGAATCCAAAATGTCGCCAGATGGTCACCAAATTTGGTGATTTTTGGTGATATTTTAGTCAAGTTTGGCGGCAAAATAAGACGCCCAAACCGTTGT